AACTAAACACAGTATTGAAGTTGCCTTCAGAGAGAAACAGGAGAATTGGTAGAGAGAAATTTTACCAGGTGTATAACTTTTTTTAGGACTGCTGTACCAAAATACTTCACTGGATGGCTTAAACAACACAAATTTATCATCTCACTGTTCTGGAGGCCAGAAGTCCTAGACCCGAGTGTGGGCAGAGTTGGATCCTTCTGAGAGCTATGAGGGAAGAATCTGTCCCGGGCTTCTTTCCTAGCATCTGGTGGTTTGCTGGCAATCTTTAGTTTTCCTTGGCTTCTGTTGCATCACCCCGATCTCTGCCTTCATCTTCATGTGGCGTTCTTTCTGTGTGCATATCTGAGTCCAAATACTGCCTTTCTATGAGGACACTAATTACACTGGATTAGAGGCCCACCTTTCTCCAGTATGACCTCAACTAATTATATCTACAATGACCCTATTTCTAAATTAAGGTCACATTCTGAGGGACTGGCAAGGTTAGGACTTCAACATGTGATTTTAGAGGTGACACAATTCAACCTATAACACCAGGTTTTATTATTTCTTTCTTACAGCAATTTTCAATGATTATACTTTTCTTTTTAAGAGGTAAAAAGTTTAATTCTAAAATGTGACCAGACCACAGATGCAGCTTCTCAGCTTTGAGTTAGCACTCAAATTTCACTGCCACCCTGTTGCTTATTGTATGTCAATTAAATCTCAATAAAACAGTTTAAAAAATTAAAAATTTCTCAAGTGATTCTAGTGGGCATCCAAAAATGAGAACCACTAAGCTGGGTCAACCTCCTCATTTAAGTAGATAAGGAAACAGCCCTATAAGGGAAGAAATCTGCTCAGGAATCATGTCATGCTAGCAGCACTGACACCTGAACTCTACTCATGATAGAAAATTACTGGGCTCCCCAAAAATCTTTAAAAGAGACACTTGAGGACATGGTTCCATAGTGTAGCGGTTAGCATGTCTGCTTTACACGTAGAAGGTCCTGGGTTCGCGTCCCAGTGGAGCCATGGTCCATGGTCTACGGCCATGCCACCCTGAACAAGCCTGATGTCTGATCTTGGAAGCTAAGCAGGGCTGGACCTGGTTAGTACTTGGATAGAAGACCACCTAGGAAGACCAGGTGCTGTAGGCATAAATAATAATAACAAATAAAATAAAATAAAATAAAATAAAAGAGACATTCGAAAAATTTGAAGTGCTAAGATTGTTTCTCAGAGGTGTAGAGCAGGGGTCTCCAACCCCTGCCCCAAGCAGTCCATGGCCTGTTAGGAACTGGGCCACACAGCAGGAGGTGAGCGCCAGCCAGCGAGGGAAGCTTCATCTTATCTGTGTTCGCAGCTGCTCCCCAGCACTAGCATCACCACCTCAGCTCCACCTCAGATCATCTGGGATTAGATTCTCATAAGAGCGCCGGTCCCAGGTGCCAAAAAGGTTAGGGACCACTGGTGTAGAGCACAAGCTAAACAAAATAAAAACCCGCCAGCCTTTACTCAGTAGAGTCACCTCTTTGGGGGCAGTTGGTTGTCCTTCTAATGTACCCCAGCATACTCTCCGCTCACTCTGCCCACTGGGTTGTGGAGTATAGTGGAGTGAGTAGAGAAATGAAAAAAGCAGCACATCAACAGCTCTATCATTGCTGTTCAGTGGCCGATTGGCTGTCTCCTTCCTTAACTCTTGATTTATTTCCAACACTCTTTTGAGTATTTCTACCTTAGATTCAACATGTTCAAAACTGAACTCATCACCTCCTACTCCAATCCATTCCTTTTCAATTCCCTATATTAATAAAGAGTACCGTTATTCTCCTAAACGCCACACCAAAAAAAATGCCTCACCCTCTACATACCAATGGTTTCCATCTATCTTCCTGAATACCTCTTAAATGCATTCTTCCTCTACGTCCTTACAGTCACCTTAGTTTAGGGCTTCATCATTTCCTGTTTAGACCTCCTGACCCATCTCCCATTTTTCTATTACTGCCTTGTGCAGCTGGCGTAATCATTGAAAAATACTATGGATCATGCCATGCTCCCACTAAAAACCTTTGAACGGCTTCCTCATGATAAATAGGATGAAACCCAAACTCCTTAGCATGACAATTATGATCTAGCCCTAATCTCCCTGTTCCATATCCTCTGCCACCACTCTTCCAGGATGCATTGTTTCCATACATACTAGATCTATTTATGCCTCTATATCATTGTACGTACTATTCCATCTGCTTAGAATAGTGGATCAGTACTCACTAACTCCTATTCATCTTCTAAGACTCAGCTTAAGTATCACCCCAGGTTAAGTTTAATACTCCCTCTCCCTATCCTACACTGGACTTCATACATAACTCCATTAAAGCAAGTATTCTACTGTTTCATGGTAATCTATTTCCATATTTGCTCTCTCACTAGCATATGAACAATTTTAGAACAGACCATTTCATTTTGCTTTCTCTCATAGCTACATCCTGAGGACCTGGCAAAAGCCTGGCACGCATAGGTGCCAAAAAATATTTAATGAATTATGAGTTATCTTCTTTTTCATTCTTTCTAAACTGCTAAATGGTTGACTAGCAGCTGAGTAGGCAGAGAGATCTTCACAATTCCAGAAGCTATGGGTCAGCCATGGCCACCTAAAATTCAAAGTGGTATAGAGTCACTATCCATACTGTGTGGCTCCATAGGCGCTGAAGTCTACTATTCTTCTAGGCTGTATTTGGAAAAGTGGATGCATTTGGCGGCTCCCAAAACTTCGGTGTAGCCAGTTTCAGTTACCAATGTGCCTTTCAGCAAGTAGCCATCCATCCATGTTCTTTACTGCTCTGGAAAATTTGTTCATGAACTATGTCACTCTGGCTTGTTGGAGAGAAGTCATCAACTCCTCTCATTCCAAACTTAAGCATTCTTTCTTCAAAGGTAAAGGTGACCAATAAAGGAGATAGATGAATAAAAGAACTTTTAAACATTGGTTGGAAAATGTGAACAAGTTAGCTACGTTAAAATAAACAAAGATGTCTGGCCTATTCCCATTACAATATGCCTCTAATCTAAATTTAGATATGAGCACTTTAATAAATTATTTCATGGAGTCTTTCTCAAGGGAGATAGGACCTCAAAACTATCATTAATTTCTTCCCCCCGCCTCCATTTATTAGAGAAAAGGAGGGAGCAGAAATACAATAATTTAGTATTATACAGTAGGATAAGCAGGACCTGACTTCCCTAACCTTCTTCTTAAATATTTTCTTGTTTAAAAAGAAACAGAAATTAAGGACTATCAACAGGATGATCTAAGAAAAACTCCCTAAATTATTTTTACTTCTTGAGTTACTCATTATGAATTCTTATATACATGAGCTGAATAATGTCAATCTTAAATCCTGTGGGGCTGCTTCTATTAACAAACTATATTCTAGAATAGAGAACATGTTGCTCTCAACATTTTAATGAATACATTAAATAAAAAGCAAACGGTTCGGGGGAGGATACAAAAAAGAAATTAGGACAACAAACTGGTAAAGCTGTCCCTGATTATCTATTCCCACTAAATAAAAAGATAAATACAGAAATTTTTACACCTACTTTTTAGAAAATTAAAACTTTTCATATAAATTTTAACATTAATATATCAAGCAACTTTTAGCAACATGATCAACTGATTCTCTCCTAAGGTTTTGGATCACAGAAGCCATTTGTTCAGCCATGCCAATTTCTTATTATTCTTGGCAAACAACCACATTATCAAACTGTTAGCTGGGGGTGGAGGCAATAGGGCAACAGGATCCTAGTGAATTACTATTCCTTGACCACGTTCCATTCTAAACTTGGGAAATGTGGATTCCAGTATGAAAAGCCATGGAACTTGTAGGTAAATTCCATTACATTTGGCTACTAAGATACCCCAGTTTTCCTGACATATAAACAAGTTCCTTGTTTTAAATGTAAGCAATAACGGGAGGTTAATGTTTGTTTTAACTTTTTATTAAGAAACTAAAGGAAACAACAGAATTTCAAAAAATTAAAATACAGAATTCTAAATTTGATTCTAAACAAATATGAAATCTACACCAAGAACTAAAAATCAGAGTTTACCAATATTTAAGAATAAAGGGGAAAGGCTAAAATGCATTCACAGTCGTTATTGTTTCCTTATTAGACTCAGAATTGCATCCCTTTCCTTTGTGCTTCACTTGGACAGGACACAGAAAGAATTTCTTTCTCATCCATCTTGCGTTATTATATAGTAACTTCAGAGAAGCTTATGTCTTCCTACACAGTTCTCTGTTCCTTCAGCAAATATGTGAGCACCTGCCTATTGGGCCAAGACGATATGGGCATAAAGACGAGCCCATTAGAGATCTTGTCTTAAGATGTTCAGGGGAGAAAAGACTCTAACGAATAATCAATAAATAAATTTATACACGATATAAAGTAATATCACATAGATTAAATATAGATAAAATATAAAAATAGGAAAATTCCAAGAAGGGAGAGGTTACATTCAGCTAGAGGAATTGAGGAATGCTTTGTGAGGATAGCATTTGGATTGGGTATAGACTGTTCCTTTAAGGAAGGCTTCAAAGTGGTCCCTTGATTTCTGGAGAGTAAGCATCTCAACATTAATTTTTGAAACTTAAGTTTCTATCTCTTCACACTGCTCATTATTTAAAATCATCAAAAAATATTAATATTAATCTACATAAGCAACAGTTTGGAGGCTTAAAAGTTAAATATAATACCTACTATATGGTTTAGGGCTCTGTTATTTTCTAGTCTTTTCCAGGTCAAATTATATCTAAAAGGCATAAGATGTCTAATTGTTGAGCCATGACTTTTAAATATTCACCTGGGCAAAACCTACTTGCTTTAGGTGCCTTCTTAAGTCTAAACATAAACTTACATGAATAAAAATGAAAGAGATGAAATAAGTGGCTTAATATTAAAAAATCAGATTAAAAAGTAACAGCAACTATGAAATGATATATATTTAACCACAGAACTCTTTGTATGAAATGTTTTAATGAATTATGAACCATTGATCATTACAGACTTTAAGCCTTTAATATTTCTTCTTTCCTATGTAAAACCAGATAATTAGAACAGCCTATCTCAAGTATGACAGAATACTACAGTATGAATGGGAGTAATAGTAATGTTTGCTTTACACATCTCATGCTTCACGAAAGTTAAGAACCTAAGGGAGTGCTCCCGGCTTCTCATGTCAACAAAGCAAATTCAATTATACATTTTTCCTGCTTACAGTTTCAGCTGAAATACACTACTTTGCCTTTCACTAGCACTTTTTATCCATCTCACAAGCACCTTCGCATTATTTTCTCTACTCTCAATAACCTTGTGAGGTAGTGAAGGGAGGGAGCAAGGATTTTTTTTTTTAATTTCGCAGATGAGAAAACTTAAGGTGAATTTTTAACTCAACCTTGGCAGCATATTGAAAATCATCTAGGAAGTTTTTTTTTTAATCCTTATTGTCATGTCTTATTCCAGACCAATATCAGAATTTTAGGGTATAGAACCCAAGTATCAATATTTTTCAAAATGCGCATGACTCCAAAGTACAGCTAAGGTTAACTACTGATTTTGATGATTTATACTCAATCTTCAGGTGCAACAGTCTTCTACCTAAAAGCTCTCTCAGCACCAATAAAAAAGAGATTCCATTTCCTTGCACATTGTAGCAATTTGCTTTAATATTCTGTATAGCTACTATTGGTCTCCACTAACAAATTCATTTATCAGGTTATAAATGAAGGCTCTTCATTCCCCTAATGTTCGTGCTAAATATGAACCTCCAATTTTATAATGTTAGCAAATGGGATATTAGAGAATCTAAATCTTTAAAAATAGCTTGTTAAATATTTAGGCAATTATTTGATTCTAGGTTCAATATGCAATAACCATGTGTTTCTGTTTTCCACTCAGCACCTTCAAAACTTTGTTACAAAATGAATGTCTACTAACAAGGCAAAACGTTATAAACAAAACTCTGAGCAAAAGTTCTTGGAATTGGCTGTACCACAATCTAAAAAAGAAACAAGTATTTAAAGGTCTTTATAGTTTTCTAACTAGCTCAATCTTCATCTTGAACCAGTTCTTTTTTAAACTTTGTCAAATTGAGTCAAGAAAAATCAATTTCTGTAGCAGCTATAGTCTCTAATACATGTAACATATAATTTCACTATGTACTATTAAATATGGTTTCCAGGAGTTTCTTCTTGACATAGATGTCGAAAAGAATCTTTAACAAATTTCATCTTTAAGCAACATAACAAATACATAATAAATATATGTAAACCTGTCAGGTGGCAAAAATAAATCTTTGTTCATGATTCAAATCCCCTGCTTCATAGGAGTATTGATAATCCTAACTCTTAAAGAGCAGCCCAAGAACCCCAGTCAGCTGCTTGCTGTCCCTAATTTTATTAAAGACAAAATATACATACAGCAATAACCTAAAAAGTACAAAGATTCCACTTGCCTTAGTCAGTATTTATCACAAAGATGTATCTGACACCATACAATTTATACTTTCATACAGAAAGATGTTTGTTTCTCTTCTAACAAAAGAAAATCTCAGCTCATGTATGTTGGATTATTAATTCAAAGGAGTAATAGTGAAATCAAATTTATTAGTCAAAAATTCAGAATAGGAATTAATGTTAAACTCTTCTACAATGAAACCTTCAAAATATTGCCAACCTGAAGTTTTCAGCACAAGGTGTTTTATTCCAAGTCCCATGGGGGCAATTATATATACTGAGATTAAGAACATTCTTAACCTGAGTTCAGGTTGGCACTGTTCCTGGTGGGTGAGTAAACATTTTCTTGATAACCCCAATGAAGAGTCTGAGGCTTAGATTGTTGCATGATGTAAACAATATTAAAATTTAAAAAATTATAATATCTACATTATAAAGTTATAAAATAAAAGGACCATTAATTGATTCTTTTCCTAAGGTCTGTGAGTAACAGCTTTCATATTTGAGGCCTATAAAAGCAAATGGCAATGTCTGTGTTGTCATGAGACATTTTCTCAGAAGGCCAAAAAATAAAACCAGATACAAGATGCACATCATTATTATTACTGATATACGTATGATTAAAAATAAATTTGCCTTCCCTCAATCTTTAGCCAGGAGATTAAAGGATTTTTACAATAATTTTGATCATTTTTTTAAGAAAAACAGACTATAATAGCTATGGAAACTGTAAACTAAATATAAAATAAGCCAATACAACATATCTCCTCTTAAAATCCTCTTCTTTGTAGTTACCTAATTGTCTCTAAATGTTATTTTAATTTTGTACCATGTAGTGGTTTTTAAGAAATTGGACTAGAACAAAGCAACCCCTTTGTCCTGTTTTTGTTTTTTTTTTACAGTTGTTTTTACACACATATTTGTATATACAACTTTTAAAATAGCTGCACAATTTTACATCTCACTGTTAGAGAAGTGCAGTCCAAGCAGACCATGCTTCTCAATATATTAAAAATATTAAATAAAACCCAACCAGTTTCATACATTTCTGATAGTCAAGCTGGCTGGAAAAAAGGGGTCTGGAGAAAAAACAGGCAGTTGTAAAACAGGATCAGTCTTTCTTCACAAACACACTACTTAAAAATCTTGCTATTTCCTTATCTTATTCCTTTTACAGCATCTCTAAATTCTCACCTTAAAAGTTGGAAATAACACATTGCTAACTTACAGACAAAATCTGTTGCAACATGCATATGTCAACTGCCCACTCAACCAACTGCAACCCTGAGGATTTTTCTGGCCCAGTAGAAAGAGGAAACACTAAGATAATCTCTGCTGTAGAGTTGCTTCTCCAGTTAACAATTTCATGTTTTCAGGATGTTTCTTGGGCATGCATGTATGACACTGTCACTTCATGATTCTACTTTCCACAAGAAGATATCTCCTCTACTGTCTTTCATCCCAAGAAAGCCACTGTCATCCATCCAAAGGTTTTCCAAGGTAAACCAAAGTCACTTCTGTGTTGCCATATACAGCGGAAACTGCTGGATACAAGCAGGCCTTGGGAAGCCCTCTAAAGGCAACCCCCAGGAACTCATATCCACGTTCAAAGGCTAAAGTCTTATCTTCCATGTCCAAGATGACTCGAATTCTTTCTCCTATCTGCAAATAGATAACAAAAGAAGGTTAGAAGAAAACCCACCAAGGGCATAGATAGAAGAAACATGAGACAAATGAACAAGTTGAAAATATTATTTTGGATATATACCCTAAAAGTTATCTAGAGAAACAAGGAGAAACTTCGGGAAGAAAATATATCAATTTCATTACAACTGCCTGATTTGATAATTTTTTTTTAAATTTAAGACTTGCATGGGATCTACATTTAATACTAAAAATTTAAATGTTTCCTTTGAATAGTCTCCAGATTTTATTTACTCTTTGTTAAAAGGCTTTTCTTAAGAAGGTTACCACTAAAAGCTGTAACTTGGTACAGCACTTTACCAAAAAAGACTTTCTAAATAAACTTTTCAAATTACTATAGTATGTATATGTAAAATAGAATGTTATTCATCCATAAAAAGAAATGCACTTTTAATATATGCTACAATATGGATGCATCTTGAAAACATTATGCTACATTAAATAAGGCAGACACATAAAGATAAATATTGTATGATTCTACTTATATCAGGCACGTAGACTATTCACATTCATAGTCAGAAAGTAGAACAGAGGTTACCAGAAGCTGGGGGCAGGGAGGGAAATAAAGAGTTATTTTCTAATGAGCACATAGTTTATGTTGGGGATAATGAAAAAGTCTGGGGTACAGATAATGGTGATGGTTATACAACGTTGTTAATGTATTTAATGCCACTGAACTATACACTTACAAATGGTTAAAATTATAAATGCTGTATATATTTTACCACAATAAAAAAGTTACATATATACTATAATAAAATACTTACATAGCCTTTAAAGTTTACAAAGCAGTTCTATATACAATGTGGAACTTACATGGTCATAAATAGCCAAATCTGACTACAGATTCTAAAGATGCAGAATAGGCTTATTAAATAGTCACTCTGTAGATCACTGCTCTGAAACATCTGTTCGTTATAAAAACAGAAGCACTGATTGTTAACTAAACTGAAAGCACAATATATCCAGTTATTTTCCCATTTGGAAAAGTAAGCAAAGAAATAAGGATGTTTTATCTTTATAATTTGCACCTATAAAAGGCTGAAACATCTATATACTTGGAGGCAGAAAGTCCTAACATTTGCAATAAAAAATAATAATTTAATACTTGCCAAGTATAACTCCTGTTGTTATTACTTTCCTTCACTGTATTTCCTAACACAAATAACTACTAATATCTGCTTTTTTTCCACCCTTTGCCCAACTCACGATTAACCTATACCCCATTTTATAGACCCAAGAATATCCTACTCATCATATAACTACTGTACCATCAAAACATGAAAAACAACAAAAAATTAAAAATTAATATCTTGTTAGATATTCGTTTTGTGCTTTGTTTTATCTTTTTTTTTTTTTTGATATTGACATCAATCCTAGGAGTTATCCCTATTTTACAGAAAATGAAACTAAGAAGACACTGTCACTCCTGGTGAAATTTGCAAGTTTGCTTTACTTTTGTTTGAGGATACAGTATGCACACAGTATAGAGAGCAGAAAGCAGAAGTCTTACTAACTTTAATTGTCAGAGGGCAATACTTGGAGACAGCAGAGTAATTGGAAACTTAAGAAGTAGGAACTCTAGAAGCAACGGAACCACAAAGAGGATGAGCCCCCAAATCTGAGAATAAACTCTGCCCAAATCCAGGTGTGACCACTATACTACACAGATACAGAGGAAACCTCCAGAGAACCAGGCTGAAAAAGTAGCAGCTAGAAGGCCCCACCTCACTCCCTTAAAAAAACAAACAAAAAATTGAACGAAGACATTAGCTGCTGCACAGCGTGGTGGAGACAGTTTATAGCTTTAGTCTACAAAAATTAACTGCCTGCTAGAACAAGAAAACTTACACTCTTCAGAAAAACAAAGCAATTTCTAGAGGAACAAAACATTCCAGATACTGTGCATATTATTGATAATGCACAGTTTTCAATTTAAAAATTACTGGATATGAAAAGAAACAGAAAAGTACAACTCATACTCAGGGAGAAAAAAGAAGTCAATTGAAACTGATTCCAAGTAGGCCCTGATATTAGTAGGCCTCGATATTGGATTGGCAGACAAAGACTTCAAAGCAATTATTATAAATATGTGCAAAGAATTAAAGAAAAATCTAGTATTGATGAATGCACAAATAGAGAATCTCAATAGAGAAATGGAAACTATAGAAAAAAGAACCAAATGAAAATTCTAAAGCTGAAGAGGACAATAACTAAAATTCACTAGCCTGGCTTAACAGCAAGAAGAAATAGCAAGAAGAAAGAATCTATGAACTTGAAGATAAAGCAATAGAAATTATCCAACCCCCAAAAAAAATAAAGAAAAAAAATTTTTTTAAAGAAAATAGCTTCAGAGGCACAGAGACAAGGACAATATCAAGCAGCCCAACAATTACATTAAATGAAAATGGATTAAACAGTCAAATCAAAAGGTAGAGATTATAAGATCAGGTTTGGTAAAAAGCAAGACTCAATTATAGCCAGTCTAGGAGACCCGTTTTTAATACAAAGACAGATTAAAAGAAAAAAGATGGAGGAAAAGAGGTACTTTGCAGCAATAAGCATAAGAAAGTTGGAATGGCTATATTTATATCAGACAAAATAAACTTAAAAGTAAGGCATATTACTAGAGTCAAAGTCGGTCAATTCATAATGATAAAAGAGCTAATAAGGCTGGGAGATATAACAATTGTAAATGTATATACACCTAATAACAGAGCTCTAAAAACACATGAAGCAAAAACTGACAGAACTAAAAAAAGAAATAGATAAATTAGCAAGTACCGTTGGAGATTTCAATACTCCTTTCAGTAAATGACTGAACAGGAGAAAGAAAAATCAGTAAGGATATAGAAGACTTGAATACTATCAACTAACTTGACCTATCATTTATAGACTATTCCATCCAACAATAGAATATGTGTTCAAACACACATGGAACACTCATCAAGATAAGTCATATGCTGGGAAGAAAACAAATCTCAATAAATTTAAAAGAACCGAAATCATACAAGAGTTTGTGTTCTCTGCAAAACAAAGACTAAAGGACTTTCACTATAAAATCACCACCAGACTAGTCATGGACTTTATCTTCAATGATTATTAAGTCTAGACACCCTTCTAGGATATTTGCAGAGACTGAAAGGACAGTGAGGAAAGGATTCTATGAAAGAAAATCCTTCCAGGCTTTTCTATCTCAGGAAATTGAATATATTTTTAGTTCTACTTTAGTATGCCTGACTTGAAGTCATTACTGAGGCTAGAGTTTTCAAGCCATACGTTCCTATGAAATATGCACTCTATAATTCCTTAAAATTTCCAGTTTCTTATCAGATTGTGTTTTAGACTCTGCTGAATCCATGGTAATCATATACCCTTTATAAATAGGAACTATAATTTTGACCTAGAATCAAATAAGTATAGGTAAGACTAAGACGAAAAGAATTTAAAATGCAAAAGTTTGCCTGAACTTTTCTGTCTTTATAGAAATCAGTAACACCTTCAGAGGCCACAAACAGATTAATTAAGTACCAGAGGGTATGTGTGTGCATGCACACAGGTGCATGCATTTGTGGGGGCAAGAGGTCTAGAAAAAGTAGATTTGGGTGTACCAAAACATAGGAAAGATGGCAATTTAAAGCATGAGTTGGCAAACTATGGTCCCTGATCCATATCTGGCCTGCAGCCCATAAATAAGGTTTTACTGTAACACAGCTATGCTCATTCTTTACATATTATCTATGGCTGTTTTTGTGCTATAACAACAAGAGTTGAATAGTGACAGAGACCATATGGATGACAAAGCCAAAAATATTTACTATCTGGCCCTGCACAGAAAAAGTTTGCCAACCCCTGATGTAGAGAGCAAAGATGACTTGCTCAAGGTTGAATATGTATTAGGAAACAAGTACTGAGATAATAGAAGATTATCAGAGTAGCAAAGAAAGGACAGTTACACCATTTAATTAAAAATTACCAAAAAGACATACAAAGCTACTATATTAAATTTTGTAAATTTAAAACAAATAAAGGCATGATTTGACAAAGGCTCACATCTCAGAAAACACCTATTTCTCACCTGATATTTTGGTGCATTGTTGCACTGTGGAAAACTGCCATTGACTTCTCCATTATGAAGTAGATTATTGTCCACCAGATTCCAGCCCCAGCTCTGGTCATCACTGCCCAGCAATGCCACGTAACCTTGGCACTGCATGGGAGCCCGTTTTGTGGCAATTCCAATCACTGCCACAGTGCCTAGAGGGCCCTCCCACCATACTTCCCATGCATGGCGGCCCTCACTGAAACCAATCTTGGTCCTTGCACCATCAGTGCTTTGAGCAATGGGGTTTCGATGTAAAGTAAAGCCATTCTTCTTAATGTAGACATTCCTGGAGCAGTCATTAGTGCTGAAGGCATGCTGGAAAGCACGTACCTGAAAAGATGAAAACCAGACCAAAGAAACAGAAGTTGGATATTTCTTAAATATTAAAAAATGCCTAAACTTTAGGCTATGTGTTTTTAAACAATAAAGTTATATATTTCTAAATGGTACAATACGTATTTCTAAAAAATAGCTAAAGTTTCAGGATGGGATACTAACATAACATTTAAAATAACTGCCAACTATTTCATTGTTGATAAAATTCTAAAACGTAATATTATTTCTCCAAATAGGCTTCTTAAAATGTCAAATATATATACACAAGAATCTTTATATTTTAGAGATAATGCTCAAATGTTTATGGATAAGATATCAAGGAATTGCTTTGAAATACCTAGGGTTGGAGCAGGATAGTAGGTGGGGTAAACATGAAAACTAGATTGCCCATAAATCAATAATTGGCAAAGCTTGGTGATAGGTATAGGAAGTCATTAAACTATTTTCTCTATTCTTGTTTATATTTGATATTTTTATATCGAAAAGTTAAGAGAGGCAGTTTTCATGTTGGCAATGCTGCCAGCAAAAGAATATTTTAAGTAAAATAGAAAACTTAGTCATAGCAGCTCTAAAGTTAATAAAAAATTTTAATAAACACAAACTATCTTAGATCCTTGGCCTCCTTGCTAGACATCACTCATACACTGAGACAGCACCACTCTCATTTTACCAAATCAAATAATCCCCTAGATAGCATCTAAATTCAACCACTAGGATTTATAGAGAGCCATTAAGAACAGCTGTCATTGGCAGGACAGGTTAGCTGATCTTCAGTAATTATCAGTTTTTTTAAGCTTCCAAAATACAGACTGTATGAAAATTGCCACTCTGAACAAATAACAATTTCTCATGTTATTTGGTTTTGGTTTGTATGTTTTTTTTAAATACTCTACTTTATTCAAACTACCCAAAAGCAGCCAAAGGCTAAGATCCATTGCTTTAGTTAACTTGCGATATCAACTCTAGAATCATAGAATTTCAGTATTAGGAAGGATCCTAAATGTCACCTAGTTCAACTCAGGGATGAGGACATGGACCTAAAAGTCAACAGCTAGTTTGAGCAAGAACCCCAAAGAGAAGTCAGGTATCTAGTACCCTCATCCAGTGTTCATTTACTATTAGTCAGTACTCCACTATTTCATTATTGTGCTTCAGAGCAGAGAAATTTAATAAAAAACAAACAAATCCTGCTTGTTTCAGGGATCCCATGTTTTCACAAGGAGGCTGTAAAACTGAAGCATTCCTAAATTTTTTCCCTATCTGTTCCTGTTTATAATACACTTTTAAGCACCTAAAAGATCAGAATATAGGATGAAAAGGGGGAGTAAAATGTCCCCCAAAATTTAAGTACATCCTAAATAACTCAAAAGACTACTATCAAGACAATTAACTCCTTATTATAAAATATTTAATTAATTCTTACCTATGCCTATCTTCAATTCTTATAAATTCCAATTGCTTTTCCTCTATCCTTATTCTCGTTGTCATACTGACACTGTTGACAAGCTCTTCCTCAAAGATCATTGACATCTCCCTATTACCTTGGACTATCTTTCACTGTATACTTTTTTGGTGACTATCCTACTTCTGCTCCTAAACTCTCTAGATCTCGATCTTCAGTCTTCTACCTGAATTCTTCCAGATATGTCATTCTAAAACAGTACCTTTATTACATTTCATCCCAGTTCAATAACCTTTGATACTTCTGTACTACCATATGAACTGTAAATTCTGCCTGGCCTTCAAAGCCCTCCAGATGTGGTTCCTCCTGTTTCTAAGTTCGTGTTGTTCTCCTTGTCTGTGGTATCATACCTGCTTTCCTTCTCCCACATATCCTCTAAGACCGGCTCGTCTTACCACCTCCATGAAGCTATTCTTAACCAGGACCACCCAATCTCCCTGACTTCACTCTCCTGAACTCCTACCCATCATAGTCGGCACCATGCAACACTTAATTCTGTACACACTCCAACCACTTGATTCTAGTAAAAAATATATCGCGAAAAATATGATCTAATCTAAATGAATCAAACCTCTATAGGTTTGAAATACACAAAATCCAGACTGAGGGAAACTCTACAGGGTAAACAACCTGGTTTCTTCAACAAATAAGTTACTAGGGTAGGAGGTAGGGAGATGGAGGGTGAATTTGTAGACTGAAATAGCCTTAAGAGACATATCAACTGTTTGCAAAGAAACATTATATAGATCTTGATTAAACTGAAAATTAAAAATAAACATCTGAAATTTATGAGATAAATGGAAATTTGAACACTTTGTTTTTTATATTACAGTTTATTTCTTTATACTTTAGATATGATATTGTGATTATGTTAAGTGTCCTTATCTTTTAGAGATGGATACTGAAAACTTTAGGTGAAATGGGAAAATAAATCCATGAATTAATCTATAGTTCCCGTCTCACACTCTTATGCACAACCTGGATGTTAACATTATGCCAAACAACTTTAAGACATAGTTTAGGATCTAAGTCTGAACTTCAGAGAATTATAGTTAGATGCTAAGTATGACTGGAATAATTGATGCTATTTGGTGACATGTACAACATGAACTTTTAAAAAGAAGACGAATCCTAAATAGACTGACAACTCCAAATACTTTCCAGTTTTATGCTATCCCAAGCCTGTTCCCATACTTCTGTTACCCAGGCTTCCTGGTAATTCTGATTCTTCCTTCTTCCTCATCTTACTCACCTAGTCAACTAGCTGTCCGCCGTGTAGATCTGTTCTCTGCAATAGCTCTCCTAACCATTCCCTTCCCTCCTTTATACACTTGTTCACACATTTGTTCTATACCTTAAATACCTCTGGTATAGGCACTAACCCTTGCCCTCTCCAATTCATTTTATGGCTTAGTTTTTCTAACGCACAGCTCTTACTTTGTCACTCCTCTGTTCAAACTTCTGTGGTTTCCAACTGCAGAACGAAGCCCAAACTGTGCTTCAAAGGCCTCTATGATACATCCAGTTTCAGCTTATCTGTGCATATTTTCTACTACTTTAATTCAATATAACTATTTTATATCTTTAGCCGCTCCTCTAAGCTCTAAACTCTTAACAACTACCTATCTGAAATCTCCTGGATATCTCAAAAACAATGTAAATTCTACTCTACCGAAATTGAATTCATTCCTCCTAAATCTATCTAGCCCGGGTGATCGCTCTATTATGTAAGCCAGATATCTAGGAGTCATCCTTAACACCTCCCTCTTCTTCACTCCTAATGCAAATCTATTGCTAAGTCTTATAAATTTTGCTTCCTAAATCTCTCTTAAATTTCTCCCCATCTGCTCCACTACTTACTTCCTAATTGATCTACCCATATTTCTAAGGTTCTCTTCAACTTGTTCTCCATACTGAAGCTAGAAATAATCTCTTAAAAATGCATAATAATCATATCACCAATCCCCACACTCCTAACCCCCTTACTTCCAGTTTAAAAAGGATTCCCTACAGAAGTAGGCCCCAACCTACTCCTTCTGTCTTATCTCAAACCTACCTCACCTTTGCTCTCTATGCTCCAGCCACACTGAAGTATTTTTTTGTCCTTCATACTCATCAGGTTCCCTCCTGGAAGGCTCTTCTCTCCCTGCTTAATCGATTAATCCTTATCTTTCAGGTCTCAGTTCATGCTTTATTTCTTCAGAGGACTTCCCTGACCGTCCTAAGTGAAATCTTCCGTTACTGACACTCAGAGCACCATGTTTCTCTCCTTCATAGTACTTACCACAGATATGATTTCACAATTGTGATTATTTGATTAATACCTATTTTCTCCAACTAGATTGTAAGGCAAGGCATCCATAAGAGCCTGTGTCTGTTTTTATTCACCATTCCATCTACAAAACTAAGCACAGTGGCTGGCATTCATATATTTTTTAAAATAAAAATACAGTATATGCTGTACAAAGCCTTTGCTTTCCATTTGTCCCGCTTTTCTTCAGGATATTTCCTATTAGTAAAATGTTCAAATCCTCCCCATCCTTAAAGTTCAGCTCAGATATAATCTCAACCTCAAACCTTCTCCAATCCTCCACTCAACTTGCAAATCTCTTTCACTGTACTTCTAGCATATGTTTTTTTAATCTCTAACAGGAGCAATTTCTACCATGTGTTAGTTATTTCTACACATTTTTTTCTCCCCTATTAGACTGAGGGCTTCCTTACTAGACTATCTGACTTCTTTTGAATTAATCTTTTTATCCTCAAGATATTCGAGAAAAGTCCTCCAATGTCTGAATGAACATGCTATTAGTATGCCTACAATACTTTCAGTGCTTGTAGTAGAAAGACATACAAAATACTAAAAACTTAAGAAACCTAAACTATCTACATAAGGATACAAAAGAAATAGGTAACACAGGCTGCCTCCAAGAAGGGAAACTGGGTGGCTGGAGGACAAGGGCAAAAGGAAGACATTTTGCTTTTTTTGAATGTTGACTCACATGAACACATTATCTATTACATATGATTATATGACTCTTGAATTATGTGAACTTATCTATTATAGAACAATTACCAAAATGTCTCAATTTAAAATAAGTAAAAACAATAAACTATGTAAAAATAAAAAATAAAACTTATGAAGCCTATACGTTTATCAGGCCAAACAGGTGCAATCTTCCTCACTATACTATGTAAATTACAGCTAGTATCCACTGAGCATCTACCAGGTACAAATATTGTCGTAGTAAATTAACATGTTATTTCACTTAGTAGGAAAAACTTGATCATATTTAACAGCAATATTCCTCATTTTATTTAACTAAAACCTTCTTTATTACAGAAGAATAAATTTTACATCTATTTCACATGGGAAAGTTTATGTCTTACCTCGATCACCACTGGCAGTCTAGCACTAAAAAGAGATGTTTTCCAATTTTAATTATTAATGTATTTTTTATGTTTACCACATTTTAAGTCAGCCTTTATCCTCTCTCATATACGCTCTTGGTGACTGCTATACTTAATAGCTGTTATCCATCTAACTGAACTCAAGCTTGAGGCCTTTTATTTATATCGCCTGAAGAATCCTCTCAGCCCTACTGTATCTGTTACTTGACATTTATTTGTATATGAATGTAGTAATATGTACGAGAATCTAGAAGAAAAAAAGGCAGCAAGCAAAACCGGAATTCTATGACAAATAGAACAGATGAGACATACCATCAAGGTGAAACTAGGAAAAAGTTGGCAAGAAAGTAGCCACTTAATACTGGGACAAGGCAGTATTATGACGGTTAAGAGATGCTGAGGGGAGTCTGGGCTATGAAAGCCTGTATCTTGAAAATTAACAGGATGCCTAGGACCACACTCACTTATAAGCCTGAAACATAGTGGAAGGAATTAAAGAAGACCTGGGTGAAAACAAAGAAAAAATAGTTCTAAATCAGAACTTGGAAAAGATGAGGTAAAATGTGGGATGAAAACGAAAATCTTTGAAAATAAGCGGATGTTAAGGCAACAGAGATATCTAATAAAGCCTATTTGAAGGGTAGGGGAAAAAATGAGCGTATTAAAGGTACAACAATGGGGGTGGTCTGTCTTTAAAGGGAAAGACTGTGGAAAGTAGAATGAGTGATGGAAAACCAGGGATGGGAAAGCAACTGGTCCTTTAAAAAGTGTATCACGGAAGTGTAGTGGGTTAAGGAGCAGAACTTCAATCCAAAGAGAAAAGAATCTTCATGGAGGGGTGAGGTAAGGTATTGACCCGTGCGGTGGAAAGGCGGGATGGTGAAGCGAGGCGTCTGACTCAGAAGCTTAGATGAGAAGCGCTGAGAGCGGTGCGCAGGAGCGGGGCTGAGGGCAGCGGCGTAGCTCGGGGCTCCCTCACCTTGGCCTTGTAGCTGGGCAGGTTGCAGAGGATGTCCGTGCGCAGAGCCTCTTCTGCCAGGCTGCGGGCACACAGGCTCCGCCACACCTCGCTATTCTCATCGCCGTGCAGGCAGCGGTACCAGTGCTTGCAAACCAGGGCGCAGCTCCGCAGCTCGGACAGCTCCAGGTAGGAGAACACCAACTCCAGCACCCGGCTGGGCAGCCGGCCCCCGGCCCCCGCGGACCCAGAGCCCGAGCCGGAGCTTGCGCCGCCGCCGCCGCCACTGCTACAGCCAGCGCCGCCCGAGGCTGCTCCAGCCCCAGGGGCCGGGGCCGCCATCGCCTCACTAGCCGGCCCGAGGGCCGCCGCCGCCGCTTCGCCCCGTCTCTGCTGGGGAGGCCAAACCTCGCCTTGAGACCGGAGCAGCGCGCTCACCGCCCCTTTCACAGTCAACCGTCCAGCCCTTCCACCACTCCCGCCCCTGCCCAGGGGCGTCCGCCGCGCGCCCCGCCTCACTGAGGGCAGACGCACCAGCCGCACGGGCGTCCCCCGCCCCTCCCCCGCGGCTCAGCGCGGGCGCCGGAACCGCCCGACTAGCACGGCTTCCCCGTGGCGCGCCCGTGACTCCGCCATGCGGGTTGAGGGCACGAAGCAAAGGCGCACGCCCAGCTCGTTCGCGGTTCCTCTCAGGCCCGGATGTGACTGTTTGGCTGAGGCGCCTCGCGCCCTACGCTACATGGGATTGGGCGCCCGTGGGTGAGGTCATTACGAGGCGCCGAGGAGGGAAGCGGGAAGCGCAGGTATGAGGCTGGCGCCGGTGGGCTCGTGGCTGGCCTCCGGTGCCTTTTCCTCTTTTGCGGGTAGAGATCCCGCATTGGCTTTCCTAGGCCTTTCTTCCTGTGAGTTTCCTTCTGTCAGCTAGGTCCCTGCCTCAGACTCCAACCTAACGCATGAAATTTCCCTCTCTAGCAAATTCCTGGCTCCGCAACCTTCGGCTTAAGTCGGCTCTTCTTCCTTTACATTCGGCAGATGAAGTCTTATTGGTCAAGCCCTCTTGTTTTCCCCAAGTACCGGTACTTATTAGAAAGTGTGACCCAGCGTGTATTCGGAAAGTAAGGTCGCCGCATTTGAACCCCCCTCCCCAGCAACGTTTGATAACCTTAAAGTGCCGTTTAAGTGCTTATTAAGTGCTACATTCTTTTGGGCAAAATGTAGCCTTTTTCAGCCTTTCCTGTAATCCCACCGATTAGTAGGCGGGTTAAGGCAAATGTGTTTTTATTTAGACAGTCCGATGGGGAGAATGACGTAGAGGCTAAAATTATACGTGGCTTCTTGGAAGAGGAAGAATTGCAGCATTATTTGGTCACGTTTTCCTAGGTGGCCCAAAAAGTTTTCGGACAGCCTTTAAAGTGTGACGAATGTTTAATAGGAGAAAATAACTATAATGTGAGCCAGACCCTGTAATGAAGTCCTTTACGCGGGTTTTTATGTAACTCCCAAAACGTATCTGAGGTAATTATTATAATAATAGGCTTCACAGATTCCCTAAGTAGTCAACCCCATTGTCTTGCCTTTATGTAGTAAGAAATCATTCCAGAAACTCCTCTGTTGTTCCCTAGTAAAAATAGAACAGCCACTACCTTCTCTACTCTGATATATAGTGTTTGATTATTGCATTCCCTTCCCAGATGTTTTTTTCCAACATGCTTAGTAATCCAGATTCTTTTCATTCTTGCTAATGCCTTTAGTCATATTGTTTGCTATCCAGCTTCAGATCAAGACCAACTTTGGAAAACCAAAACATGTAAAGAAAAGTTGACCTATATTCATTACAGTGATAGTAACTATATGGTAGTGTAACCTCAGACTACAGTTTTATTAATTAATTTTTCAGCTTTCAACCATAGGACATCCAAGGAAGGAAGATCAGCTTTTTCTGGAAAGACACTTATGTTTCATTTAAATCTTCAAGGATGAGTAGAGTTGATGCATCTGAGAAGGGGCAAAGACCCAGGCAAAATGAACAGCTTTAAAGTCACACTTGAAAAGAACAAGTGGATATATGGAAATATGACTGGAGCAGAGTGTTTAGAGTAGAGCTCATTCAGTTATTAAAGATGTTGGCCTTTATCTTGTCATAGTATAGGGGAGTTAGAGCCTTTCAAGGAGCTGATCAGACAATTTTGGTGCTAATCTACTCCAGTTAGTTAGGTGACTTTTTGCGGGAAAGTACCCGCCAAGTGGCCCACGTAGAATTTCAAAGTAGGAAAAGATTTTCTTTATCATACCTCCTTTTCTTTATACAGATCTTTTACCTACTCATCACCCTCCTGACCATGCGCCATCCCTCAAGTTCAGTATCCTCATTCTGTCCTCTGGCTGTTTAGAGCTGCCAATTGTTGTACTCCACCCTTTCTAAAAATGCTCTCAAAATACCCCACTCTTCCCCCGCATCCCAGTCCATGATCTCATTTGGTGTTGGAAGGAATCTCTATTAGCTAATTAAAGTAATTCACAATAGGATATGATTAATTGTGCTTGACACCTTTAGGCATCTGTGTATGAGAAGTTTGACTTGATACCTAAATGTGGGGACAGTGACACCTATTTCTGGTACACTTTCCAGTCTCAATAAGAGAAAAACAAGAAACTGGCTTGATACCTTATTTCTGAAAGTTTGTTTTGATTTAACCCAGATTTAATTACATTTTTCCCACTACTTTGTACCACAGGTATCTGATTAACACTTTTCAGTGGTGGTCTTTGTGTTTTAAATAATAACAAATTTTAATTTTGCAGACAAACAAGTAATTTCAAGGGCTCTGGTTGAATCACAGATCAATACTCTGCATGATAAATGTTGATTGACTAAAAAGCTTGTTTTTTACTAAGGCACATAAAGGTTAAGGTAGAGCTGACCTTGGTCTTAACAAGATTAGTAGACTGAGAGTTACTACTGGTTTCATTAATAGAGAAATTTACAGAAACTGTGTTGTCTGTAATAGTCCCTTTAAATATAAAATCCATCTGTTGCCTGACCTCACACTTTGGGGTGAAGCTTAACCAAATGTGTGTTTAAAATTGAGTTAATCTTTTCCAGAAAAGACTCATATTAGGAAGAAAACCTGCTAAAACTTTTGTCTGCCAGTCAGCATTTACTTAGGTCCTCTGTGGGTAAATTTATGATGGAGAAACCCTGCCTCATTCTTGCCTTAGAGAAAACCTAAAATCCCAGCAGAGATCCAAAAAATTATATGCACACAAAATCCTAAAGCTGTAGAGGGTGGACTTCTGGACTTTAAAGTTAATACATCATAGAGAAAATAAGTGATCAATATTCTAAAGATTCATAACAAAGTTAAACAAAATTATTTGTAATTTAAATGACATTTTCAATAGCTAATTCAAATTTTCATATTTTAAAGTATGATATTGTCTTTATCACATAAGTCAATAGTCACCACAGATGACAGTTCCTAAGCCTAAATGATATTAATATCTTTTATTTTATATTGTGCTAAGTGTCATTTTTTTCTGACATTTGCCAAGAGTCTTTGTTATGGTAGAAAATTATTTAGCATTTCAAAACTTGTCAGCAAAAATCAAACCACCAGGGCTCCCTATCTTTACCTCCCTGTGAGTCATTTCCTCTCTAAACCTCTCCATTAAAACTTACTTGCTTCAGTCTCTGTATAATTAGTTTCCTCTGTATACTAATTGAGTGCTTCTGCTAAGATTAAAAATATATATCTTTTTGTATTTTTGCTATTTTGTTGTCTTTATGAAAATTGCTATCTGATTTTGTGAAATTTCTGTTACTTTGATTACTAAGAAATAAGTGATTTTTTTGCAGTCTAGTTTGTGTTTGTGTGTGTATGTGTGTGGCTAAAAGTGGGAGGAAACAAGCTTTGTGTTGGGAATAGAAATTTTAGGAAGATTGCCAGATTACTTTAAATGATTTTTCAAACCAATATTAAGAAATTTATCTCTGTATTATTGGACTAATTTCAGGTATTGTATCTGAAAATAGTAAAACAACTACAACAATTCTTCACTAGATAAATTCACCTTTGGCTTGTGAAATGAAGAAGTAAATTTAACCAAATTTGTTTGCTTCCTTGTGTCTGGCCACTTAAAGTTGTGTAAATTGCCTTGATTTCCGTTTTTGCTTTGCCCAATAGGCAGTTATGGCAGGGAAGTATGTGGCAATTTCAGTTTATAGATCTGGGATGCCTCGCATATCAGGAATCTAAATTTTGTGCATAAGTACTATTGCATAAGTGCAAGTATGTAATAATGTGATTAAAAATTTGTGAGTACATTTAAAAGCAGTTATGCATTATTAGTAGCTTTTAGTCATTTTCTGTACTTTCAAAGAATACTAACCAGTATAACTATTGTTAAGAGAAATTGTTAGAACAGGGTCTTCATTATTTGAAAGTTTGGAATCCCTTTATATTGTATCCCATGTACAAACCCTAAGGTCCAGGTAACCAGCTCTCCAGAAGAGTTTTGGTTTAGTACAGGTTCTCAAATTCTAGCCTGCATCAAAATCATCTGGAGGACTTATTAAAACATTGCTGGGCCCAACCCCAGTTTGTGATTCAGTGGGTCTAGGCGTTCCTAGGTGATGCTGATGCTGCTAGTCTGGAGACCATACTTTGAGGACCATTGGTGCAGTATAAGAAAAGTGATAATTGTAATATTTGTTTAGTGCTCATTATGTACCAGGCACTATTAATATTGTCTCTAATTTTCTCTGATTCTATGAAATGGATGTTATTATTATGACCCCCATTTTATAGAAAAGGAAAGTGAATCACAGAGAGGAATTTCAGTTACTTGCCCAGTTACTCATCTAATAGGCAATAGAGCTATTTAAACCCATAGTCTAGTTCTAGAGCTCATTCTCTAAAACATTCTGATAAAAGATATAACCTGATGATTATGCAGCCCCCTTTTAAAAAGAATTTTTTCTAATTTAAAATATATGCAGTATTATGTGAGCATCACATCAAAGACTGGAGAACCAGGTGTACCTGGGTTGCTGATTGCAAGGGAAGCCCATTTAGGCATATTCCAGCCAGGCGCACAATAACCCTGTGTTCAGCTAGACTTTTGTAGACTTCATCTTCAAATGTCTTTTTTTTTTTTTTCCAGTTTTTTAGATGTCTTTTTTCTAATATTTAGATGAAATATTACTTATTGCATCTGTCTCCCACCATCAAGTTCTTAAACAAGACATAAGATTATATTCTTTCCCCCTCTTCACAGAGTCTTCTGGACCATTATGGCAGTCAAGTGGTCTGGTGGACATTCTTCTCCTATCCTCTGCCTGAATGCAAATCAAGAAGGACTAGTGGCTTCTGGAGCAGAGGGTGGAGATCTCATGGCTTGGGGTGAAGATGGGACTCCATTGGGACACACACGCTTCCAAGGGGCCGAAGATGTTATCAGTGTCTTATTCTCTCCCTCCTGCCCAACCAAGCTCTATGCCTCACATGGAGAAAACATTAGCTTACTAGATATCAGGTCTCTCAAAGGTTCTCTGGACCATTTTCATGTGAATGAAGAAGAAATCAATTGTCTTTCATTGAATGAAACAGAAAACCTGCTGGCTTCTGCTGATGACTCCGGGGCAATCAAAATCCTAGACTTGGAAAATAAGAAAGTTAGCAGATCACTGAGGAGACATTCCAATATCTGTTCTTCTGTAGCTTTTCGGCCTCAAAGGCCTCAGAGCCTAGTATCATGTGGACTGGATATGCAGGTGATGCTTTACAAAGAGTATTTGGGTAATTTCTAAATGAGACGTGCTAATAGAATCAAATTATTGATCAGACTAAAGATATCTTGTAATTTTCTATTATCTACTAACATGTCTTCTACTGTGTGTTTCATGCTAACTTGACAAAGCTTACTAGATTTTACTTACAAAGTAATCATTAATTCTTTAGTCTTCCTTTCTTAATGCTTTAATACTTTCCTGAAACCTGAGGATTCAGTGTTTGATTCTAAACATTTATTTAAACAAAAGGGCTTGCTGAAGGCAGAGTTTATCACCCGCTTTCTACAAACACTGTTTTTTTTTTAAAAAAAAGTTGAAGGGATTAGATCTGTTTTTATTTTAAAATTCTGGGGTGCATTGATTGAAATAATGTATTTTGGTGACCAGGATCAGAGCATTGTATTCATGGAGAGTTTTGAAAGGAACATCACAAACTAGCCCAAATTCAGAGGAAGGCCATCAAGGGGGTATATCTGTCTAGAAACCCCATAATGTGGAGGAACTGGAGATATTTTATTTTTGGTTTTCATGAAGAGGAAGAATGGAATACGCTGGTCTAAATAGAAGTTATTATAGAGAAGCAGATTTTGGTTTAATAAAAGAAGAAAGCTTTAAATAGCTTGAACTTTCCCACAGCAGATGTGCTTCTTGAGAATAAATCTCTTATCACTGGATTGGGAATAAGCACGGCTTCTTTCTGGTGAGCACTTAGTACTTGCCAATGCTTACATATATTAATTTTCATTCTTATCACACCCTGATAGTGATTACTTCATTTTTAGACATGAGGAAACAGATTCAAATTAAGTACCTGCATAACTGCCTCACTTAGGATGCAAACCTCAGTCTCTCTGACTCCAAAGCCTATATTTTTTCTCTGTGACACCAGAGGTATTTAAGTAGAATATCATCAGTAATGTAGAAAAGGTTCTTGGTTTGGGAACAGGTGACTTCCAGAGGGGAAAAAAACCCATTGTTTATTAATGTTATGTGCCCAGCATTGTTCTAGGCATTTAATCTACTTTCTCAACTATATACAGTATCTTCTAGGACTATGATTCTGTTAATAGTATCAAAGGTTTTGTCTTTCCACCTTCTTGACCAGTGATATTTACCACTCCCTCCTCTACGCTCCCCACCTCTTAATTTAGAAATAGATGAGGTTGGTTTTTGTTGTCACCGTGACTGCCATTCCCTATCCCTCAAGTTAATAGTATTTAGTTGGCAGAATCAGTGCAGGTCCTGCGTGCTGGGACAGTCCTTAAACAATAAAGAATTATCCTACCAAAAATGTCTCTATTGCCTATGCCGAGAATTTTTCTAGACTTATGGGGCACAGTGACCCTATGACCTCTAAACTCCTTTTCCACTCCTAGGTCTTAATCAAGCCCTTTTAAACCTCCTACAATTTTCTATCCTTGTAGTGATAGTCTCCCTGCTTGGTCGTGCAGAAGGACCTACACAACTAGGTGGACATCTGTTTTAAGTAGGCAGGTAGTACAGTGTCTCTTTGACTAGTCATTCTTTCATCCTTAAGCTATACCAGTTTTCAATCACAGGTTCATTATTTCATTACTAGGCCTGGCAATAAACATTTATGTGTGCAAAAATGACCTGGTATTCTTCAGATTAGGCAAGTAGGCATCCAGAATTTACCATTTTGCATCTAGTTCTAGGCAGGAAGCTTTAGCAGAAGGCAGCTGCTAGATAACAGTGTAGGAAATAAATATTTTGTCAAAAAGGAGGCTTAGGTAATTGCTTGACTGCCAAGAATTGCTAAGTTTGCTGTAGATTACCTTCTGCACTGGGTTATGATAATCACAACAATGACTAAGACAGCACAACCATGCTTTTAAGAAATTATTTCCTATTTGCAACAACATGGATGGACCTAGGGGTTATTATGCTGAGCGAAATAAGTCAGAGAAAGATACATACCGTATGATTTCACTTATATGTGGAATCTAAGGAACAAAAAGAACAAACATCAAAAATAGTCACGAATATAGAGGACAATCTGGTGACAGCCAGAGGGGCGGGGATTGGGGGCTGGAAGGAAAAGGTAAAGGGTTAAAGGAGTACAAATAAGTTAATAGATAGTCACAGGGATGGAGAGCATGGCATAGGGAATGCAGTTAGCATTAATGTAATGACTATGTAGAGCCAAAGGGGTAATGAGTAATTGGGGGGATCATTTCATAAACTATATAAATGTCTAACCAGTGGACTGTATACTTGAAACTAATAATAACAAAATGCTAAAAATAAATTATTCCCTACTGACATTGAAACTTAATTTCTTCCACAATTTACCTTTTAAAACCTGGTTATCCAGTATTTTAAATTTTAAAAATAGCCTATAGGGGAGTCCAAGAGTATAATTATAATAGTGGCAGTTCTTATCAGGTTGATTTTGAGAGTTATTTCTTTCTGAGCAAATGCATTTTATCTCAAGGTTGAAATTGAATTACTGCCACACAAAGTAGATATGTTCAGTATACCTATCCTTGTTATTATAGAAATCATAAAAACTATCTTTTGATTTAGATAGATTTAAAATAATTAGGCAGAGCATACTCAAAGAGTCAGGAACCTTAAGAACAAAGTGATTTATTAAGATAATTGAGACCACTTTAAATAGGTACAAATTTTTATATGTGTTAAGGCATAATATTAAATAAATACATGTGTAAGCACCACTCAAATATAGTATAAAAACCTTTGGAAATTTGAAACCATCGTATATTTCTGTAGCACGCATGATTCCTCCCCGTCCCATTTCCACACCTGAAAGTATAGGTACAAAGGTTTGTTCTTTCTGGAATTTGAAAGATTGCTAGTACCAACACTTAAGGATCAGGATGGTGAAGAAGGCTTTTTTTTTCCTTGATTTTTTTATGTGGAGAGAGAGAACTTTTTGAGCAGGGTCACTTTGATATGGTTGCATTCACTTCCAAACATTGGCCAGTTGTCCACTTTTTCTCCCATTGATGTTTTATATGACTGTAAACCCCAAACTCTTGTATTCTTTTCCTTCAATATCTGTAGCTCTCCTTAGGGTAATATTGCATAAAAAGGTGATTGAGAAATTATGAAACACCTTGGAGTATTTGGCAATTAGGAAAAATAAAGCATAAAGAGAATTGTTCCAAGCAGGAACAATTTGGGGATCTTCAGTACTTGGAAATGATCTTGAATTGGTAATCTGGGATGGTTATTAACACATTTAGATGATTTAAGTAAATATAAAACTGTTAAAGGGAGTGGCTCCATAGCGTAGTGGTTAGCACGTCTGCTTTGTACACAGAAGTCCTGGGTTTGCGCCCCAGGTGGATCCACGGACCATACCCTGGGTGCGCCAGGCCCCTCACCTTCAGAGATCCAGTTCTTAAGGGGAAACGTCAACATCCATGGGTCAGGGGTGGAAGTGGATGGGGGGGAATTAAAGGGGAAAAAAATGTTTAAGCTGCTGAAAACACTTTGGGTATAGTTCATGTCTTAGGGGTACAGAAAGTATAATCCAAGCATGAAGGAGCTGAGTGAGAAACTTGTAGGTATCTGCCCATTATAGTTAAGCTGGCAGATTTTCTGATATTTCTTTAATTTCAGTTTGTTAGTAGTATCTTGGCTTCGCCCAAATACCTATTGCTGGCCACTTAGTATAATTTTATAAATCCAATTCAAAAGGAAGTTCTTTCC